AGGCTACTTTTATCGCGATAACCGATATACACGAGGGCGAAGCCGTAGGCAAAGGCTAGTATGATATAATGCATAAACAACGATTAAATTTATTTAATGTCAGCTTGGCTGTGCTTACATACCTTTAGATTGTGAATAAAATAAGTAATGATAATATTCTACCACATTCACACAACGCCATCTAGTCCTAAACTAAGCAGAGCTTGTACTATGGCTAATAGACAATTTATATAAATAAACATATCTTTTTTTTTAAATATATACATATTAAACATAGAAACACTCAGACCACATCAAACATTAAATGTTCATGAACACAAATGTTTGACTTGAGCGGGAATCGAACCAGCGACCTTTGGAATAGCAGTCCGTTACACAACACGCCATCCGGTCGTTAAGTATAAACATAATTTTCATCAACGTAATCATTCTTATGTAGGTATAATCACATGCAAACTTAATGACGGCTCTGAAGTGTAGTACCTGCAGGTGCAGGTACCTACAGTCAAGTCAACTTGACTGTACGTATACAGGAATGTGAGTGCATGTGCAGTGTACGGATGTAACTCACACACTAAAAGGCATACGTGTCGTGTGTCGCCCTGCCCTCGCGCTCCTTTACGTCCCGCTGTTTTTAGGCTCGCATAGATTAAGGGGACAGGGGCAAACGAATAGACGGGTCACTTGATGGTAGGCGACTATCGCCGCCCTTAGACACTTAGTCAAGAGTCTCAGGTATATTGCGGCCTTTGAGTTACTTGCCCCAGAAATCCTAACTTCCTCCGGTTGAGCGTCCGGTAACCTCACTCATTCGTAGAATTGTAAAGAAAAAAAACTCACTCCGGAAAGTGCCGACAGAAATGAAAACTTGAATTTTTTTATTTATATATATATTTTTTTACAGGAAAAACTTTTGTTTTTTTCGATTCGAAAAGTTCCGACATGAATATATGTCTTTGTTGTACGTATGTATAAAATATATGTTTATATTATATATAGTTATATTATCAATGTATTTCAACCCAAACTCAACTTTCGTGTAAATGGGGTCAATATATACTTATATACAGAGGTGTCGGTTACGGTAACAGTGTCGCGAGATCAATGGTTTTTCCCATTTAAAAAAAAAAATTGATTGTTGTTCAAAAATGCCCAACGCGCCTATTCACTTCAAAAATTTTAACACTGGTTTTCTGTAAGGTCGTCAGACTGTTAAACTGTTTCCTAGAGGCCAATCCAGGGCCAGATATACTTTTTGACAAACCTAGCGTAATGTATAACATCGTGTTACTTTTCCTAAATAATATAGTCAGGTATGGCACAGGTATGGGTAATTAAGTTTCGTCTAAGTTAGATTAAAAGATCTCATTATAGAATTGTTGTGTTTGTAATTTTTTATTGTAATTTGTAATGTTTTATTGTGTATGTTAAATTTTATTATAGTTGATTTTATGTCTTTGTATAAGTGATTTGGTTGTATATACCATCTGCTTAAATTTTATGAATAAATGTATATGAATACTCCGCTAATGTCGGCCCATTGCCTGGTTAAATTATTTATAAAATTAGTTGTTTAATATAGCACGTGATCTAAGTGAATCTTTTTATGTCTTTCATTTCGTACAGAATCATCTTTATAATGTTAAAAGTAACATATTGACTTGAAATATTGTAACAAGGGCCGCCATCTGTTCGAATTGATTACAATATTTATTTTGATATCGGCCGACAGTTTTTTTTATTGTTTTATCTCCGATTTGTACTAAAGACAGGCTGGCAATAAATAAGCATTACACTTATCTAACATTCTGCCTACATCCTAAATCTACCTAGATAAAAAATACAATTATGTATGCACAAATTCAAAGGTTTATTTTTTTAAGAAAATAAATTTCTACAGCAATAAACTACCTACGACTCCGATTTAATACAAATCATTTTACACACACATTTTACACATTTAGTGTTACCAATGCAAAAAATAAAATTCTCACCAGAGACAATTCTTTTTAGAATAGAAACCGTCTTGTTTTTAGTTTTGCTGCGTTCACTATTTTAAAACTTTGTAACAGAAAATATGTGATTTTCAATGGGTTTTAAAAGCGATGAAATCGGCTAAAGCAATCAAAGTAAGAGCTTTAAGTTAAGAGGTCGGTGTAAATTCATCTTCAAAGTTGACATTTGTGTTCCTTGACATTTTGTAAGGTTTTTTATTTTAATTTTTAGTAAAGTTTTTATTAGTGTTTTTACATATCATAAAAACACTAATTAAAACTTTAGGTAGATTAGTCATCTGATAGTAAGTGACTATCGCCACCTATGTGACCCGTCTGCTTATATCCTCTATCCTCTCCTTATCAATAAAAATCTGCTACTCAAATGTCATTAGAACTTCCCTTAGGGGGGATAGGTAGATTAGGCATGGTGTCAATTCGGGGAGGATCTGACATAACATGGCCCGGGGTCCCAGAGTACAGAACCTGAGGCCGGCTGTCAGGGTGGTTTTTAGTGGAATCACCACATACTCCTGGATCCTTGTCCCCGAGGAGCAGGAGATCCGAAGGACTTTTCCCCCGTCAACAAAAAAAGAAAAAGGGGGAGGGTAGATTAGGCCTCTGTTAACGTCAGTTTCTCGGTGCAAGCTACGGTAGAGTTGCTTAACACTAGTTTTCTGTGAAGCCGTGATTTTATCTGGTAGAGTCTGTTGTAGTGCAATTAATTGCTCACACTATTATAATTTATTATCGTTTTATCTAAGTGCATACAAATGATCATCATCATCATCAACAGCCTTTACTAATCCACTGCTGGACATAGGCCTCTTCTAGACACAAATGATAAAAATTACAATGTTGGGTAAAGTTATTTTTTTCCGTTATAAACATATCTACACAATCACGCCTAAATCTCGTGAGGGGTAGGCAAAGTTATATTAAATGTCCACATTTTACTAAGTACAATTTTAGTTCTACATACGTAGGGAAGTGCCCGATTACAACAGGCTTGCTGCTGCTGCATGCCTGTTATTGTTAACCGGGCAATTTATTAATAAGATTCGAAATTAGATTCTTATATTGATAGCAAAGGTAGAATAACAAGAGACAGAAAAAGGATGTCTCTTATACGGTATAATCGCATACTCGTAACTCAAATTGGCGTATATCGGTACGTCTGAGTCCATTAACTCTCTGTTCTACGTTTACATAACTAACAAATGTCACCATGTTCCTTCGGGCAAACAATTGTGACACGTCTCACACACTTCCGTCTGGACTCAAACTAGTCCGAACTTGTAATTATGGTAACCAGACCGATGATAAACATAGTTATATATTTCTAAATACACACATATTATAGGCTCGTGCTCATCACACATTAATTTGTCCTGGATGGGAATCGAACCCACGACCTCTGGCTTAGCAGTCAGGATGATAAACAACAGCATCAACATCAACAACATCAACAGACCGAAATAAATATATAGTAAAAAAAATAGTTTGACAATATTTTATTCATCCTACCCTTCCCTTATCTAACAGAGGTACAGAACCTCACTTCATCACATCTGTCCCAATTGACGATCAAATCATTTCTCATTTGACCCCAAACCCGGATGTCTCACACACCCGGGTAACCAATCTACATTGTACGGATACAATGGCATCACTTTAATTTTAGACCACAAAGGCTTTATGCGAATCAATAACCGGGTATTGTTCCTTTAAATGTCCGGATATCCCGCCTTATTTTTCAATAATTATGCAGATGATAGTAGTAATTTATAGAACTTTAATAAAAATGTATTTTTTGACAACTTTTTACTCCCGATATGAAAAATAAAATTGATAGACATTAAAATGAAGGTAACTGTTAAAAATCATGTTATGTTTAATCGCACAGATGTGACGGAGATTTTAGTAATCACAATAAAGCCCTGAAAGTACTCGAAATTTTAATTTCTCAAAAACTAGTACACATCACACACATCATCCATCAGGCCTCTCCCATTGCACTCCACTTAGATCGATTTTGGGCTTCTCGCATCCAGCTCCTGCCAGCAAAACTAGTACATTTTACACTAATTTTAGATTTCAGATAAAAATATATTCTTTATTGCACAAAAAAAAAGTATTGTACTAAAGAAATATATTAAGAAGAAGTAAAATGGGAGGACTTACTGCAGCCTGCGATCTCTGACAAACAACCAGAATGGACTATACTGTATACAAAAATTTTGGCATATTGCATCTTTATGTTGTTTTTTTTTTCAGTAATTACTACAGTAGAAGAATACCACTAATAATAAAAAGTATCGAATACCAATTCAATCTTTTTATAAATCGGGATTAAATTATTATAAAATTGTCTTGAAAAAATATACTTTTCATGTTATGTTTATGTATTTGAGACTCTATTTAATTATACTTTTAATTAATTAACTTTCTCTTTGACGTTTCTCTTTGAGACATTTTCTTATTAATTAAATGGATTATTTTCAATCACAGTCTTTTCTCTGTGTAAATGTGGGCGTTAAACAAAAAAATTAAGTTAGAATGCGGAAGTTTTAAGGCTCTGAAAATATCTAAGTATATCGTAAACTTACATTATAGATGCAAAAGTGAGTTTGTCTGTTTGTTTCCTTTCATACTCTAACTATTCAATTAATAATCATGAATTTTAAATATTCGTTATCAAAAAAAAACGTTCCCCAGAGGTCCTTGAATAGATTGACAAAAACTACATTCACGCAACCGAAACCGCGGGAAAAAGTCGATCTTTAATAAATACAGATGATAATTTGATTAGAAAACTACGTAATAATTAAGTAATTACATTGTATAACAGTAAATTGAGAAGTTATCAACAGATGCTACAGTAGCGTAGCAAGTGTAGCTACGCCGTAGCACAGGTAGATGCGGATTATAAGTTACTTGTATGCATTTTACTTTTCTATCGATTAATATAATGATTAAAAAGTCTGATATAACAAAAACACTTACCTCATTCATATAATTCCAGGCTTGACAGGCTCTAACAGGACTTAGCGGTTTGTAGTGATTGCCGAAGGTGTACATGTAGAAAAGCCAGGGTGCGGGAAACAGCATAGTGAACATGTCACAGAGTGCCATCGCCATGAGTACTACGTTCGTAGGTGTTCGCATGTGGCGGCGGGAGAGTACCACCACGATGAGCGTGTTGGCAATCGTTGTTGTAGCCAGGAGGAACGGAGCAATGTATCTGTGGATAGAAGACAAGATTAGACACAAAAATTTCCTATTTTTTTTCTCTGGGTAAAATGAGCCATGTGGAACTTTCCTCAGTATTTTTATATGACTAATTATATTGACATAAGTTCATGGATTGACTATTGGCAGTAACGAGTGGATATTCAGACATTAGCAGTATGATTCAAAGTTGTGAAATTTAGTAGTATCCTGTAAATGGTGTCATCTGCCGATGGCAATTCTGATATTAGCACTAATACTCGTGTAACATTTACTAGTGTATTGTTATGTGACGTGGGGATGATCCCAGATTATGAAGAGATTAAATCTAATGTGCTGTTCCACCTACTTCGTTCTGAATTAGGATATCAAAACCGTTAACGTTATGGTAGCATGTCGGAACCAAAAAGACTACACACTTATATCACTATGTCTGAAAAATATTGGGTATCTGGACAGACAACCCAGATGTTTAGATAAAGCAACCAGCCCACCCCTGACAAATGACATTATGTGATGAGCATGATCATTTGCTCTGTATCTGGGAGTTATTTATCTATAATACGGATGTATGGAACTTAGTCATCTTCAAAGTTAGAAATACGAAATAATAGAAGGCCGCTAGTTTGGTATAAAAATAAATACAGTCAACTCACCCGTACATCGGCTCTGCATAATTTATAGGGAACTCACACGTTACATTCAAATAGGCATGAGAATGGTTCGATTGGCAGAAGTCGTCTGTTGTGAAGTTGCTATAATCGAGAAAACCAGTCTGGTTATCAGAGTACATATAAGTTATCTTATTGTCATCGGTGACGTCACTTGGGAGGTGTTTTTTCGTCGCGTTAAAATCACCGAAGTAATCGACCCAATCTTTGTCCTTATCTTGCGCCATTTTGTTTATAGTTTTGCGATTATCCGGTTTAAGGCATATCTCGTTGTTATGTCATGGTTATTATCTGTGGACAAAGAGAATATAACATTATAATCTTGTTTTCTTGAGGAGAGAAAAATACACATTATGGGAGTGGAGGCTGTTGAATGAGTCATAGATCTGGTGGTCATGATATTATCAAACTTTTATTTTTCGGTTAAAAAAACAATGTCTTCTGTCTCCATTCCCACGGTTCCATAACAACTTAGTCATTAATAGAGAATCAATAAAAAAATCAATTATATTGCTCCTAGACTCGACTTATCCTATTTCTATTACACTTCTGTAGTTTGAGCTGATAGAGAGTATAAAAGCCCTTGTTACAGAAGTGTTAAAGTCTCATGGACGTGATAAACTTGTGATGTATGTATTGTTAATAGTCTCCTAAGCGAAGTGTCATTATTCTCCAAGCCTTTTGCCAAACTAGGTTAAGATGGGATTTTAGTCTACCACGACACAGCTTAAATTTAATTTTTTTTGGGTGGAACGACTGACATCAGATCTTCACAATCCAGGAAATAAAACATAAAAAAAATATATAAATGTTTCTTATTGAACAAATAATATTATTTTCAATTTCGGTTATAGCCCTAATAATAAAGAATGCACGAATGACACTATTATTTAACTTGTCATCTCAATAGATGCCCTTGCCCTTGAGTATAGTAAGCTCGATTCGCAGTTTGAAGAAATTATTTGTACGACTCAGAAATTTTTGTATTAAAGTCAACGTGAGCGTTGTTTACATTAATTGTTAATTTGCGGAATTTCCGAGCGAATCCAAGAATATTTTTAAATGTACCTTTGGAAGTGCCTCTGAAATGCATTATAAAATACAATACAATTCAAAACCAATATTACAAAGGTGGTAATTAAAACCATTTTGGCAGTCCACCGCAATATATTCGTAAAAGAGATAAATTAATTAATTTCGAATTAAGAGAAGTCATCTTTTACAGTAAATTATAGGATGATGAATAGGAACCTTATTCTTGATTAATATTATATGGTAAGGGTTTGGCTTAGTGTAAGCGATTTTAACTGGCAAAAAGTCAATTTTTACATTAACATCCAAAAATTTTAGACTTTTTAGATTACATAAATAATAATAACACTCCTGAATGGGTTGACAGAGAAAGATTTTAAGGGTGAATAAGGTACTTTTCTATAGGTTTCAATTTAAGTAGACTTTACAAGAATATTCAGTGCCAAGTCAAGGTGCGAGGAAATACTAAAAAATATGGTCACTTTGTTCTTCTCAACTCAAAAGTAACAAAAACGTTGTTACCCTTTGGTCCCCCGCCCCCCAGAACTTATTTGGGGGAAGGGGGTGGGTTAAGGCCTCTGGTAACCTCACTCCATCATCATCATCAACGGCCTTTAATAGTCCACTACTAGACATAGGCCTCTCCTTAGAAAGGAGGCCTCTTATACCACGCTGGCCAGATGGGTTGGTATAGGGTTTGTCTTAAGTTTTTCTTCTCTTTTGCAGTGATGTTTTCCTGCGTAGTTTTGCTCCCTTAGTCGGCTTTTACGACTCCCACGAAATGCATAAGGTTGGTGACACTCCGTATTCAATACAGAAAGACACATGCCAACGGCCTGTACTTACCACAGTACGCTTCTCCCACGATAATATGGTAATAGGTTAGATGCTCCGCTCTCAGACGTACCTGGCTTTACCTCAAAATTGTATCAAGGTGTAATTGGGTGAGAATTACATCGCGTACGTAATTAGTGAAACGTAGAGCATTGGTATTAAGTCGGGCGTTCTCTATTGTGCAATGTTCTGAATATGACGTAATAGAGTGTTGAGGTCGTGTAATAAATTAGTGTAATTGCAACTCAAATTAATTGCAAGCATGCACCAAGCCATATCAAAGTTCAACATGAGTTTTTATTTTGGTAACAAGACAACTCGAAACAGGAAGAATTTCTTTTGGTCTAATTAAAGGACTCTGCTAAGCTGGAAGTCGTTGGTTCGGTTGCCACCCAGGACAAATATTGTTTAAAGAGCACGATAATTTTTTCTGTGTCTGGGTGTCATTTATTTATAATTTGTGTGTCTTTAGAAATATTTAAGTATGTTTATCAGCAGTCTGGTTACTATAGCACAGGCTATGATTACTAGTTTGGAATCAGACTATCAGGATCGGACAGACTATGTTTGAAGTTAAAGTGAGTGGTTAGGGGCACATAACATTGTGGTTTACACGCCACTGTCATGTTTACTGGTGCACTAGCTATTTATAAAAACGCTTATTTTAGCTTCACCTGTAACTACGAGTATAATCTACGATATTTTTTTTAAAACTGATTAGTCAAGAGGCGTGGTCGATCGATGCGTCACTATTCTCTTAACGCGAATAGACTACAACTAGGTATGTAAACAAATCTAAAAAGTCAATTTTGACCTGCTTGTAATTGTCATTTCGAAATGAAAGTTTTTACTTTTCTGTAGTTTGGCAGATGGAGCTGATTTAATGTTGAAACTGGTAATGATATCTTCAGTAATTAGGACACTTTGAGTTTTGACTCATACTTGATAAGTTCAACGGGTGGGGCTTAGTAGTGATAGTCTGATGTGGAAGCTAGAAGATTAATAGCTGATTAGTCAAGCGTATTTTTTATCCGAATGTGCTAGAAGGAAGGTTATATTTTCGAGTGTATGTATGTATAGTTCATAAAATCATAAAAATTAAAATCACCTCTTTGTAAATTTTAAGTGCCTATACATTTTCTCGCAGTCGGTTTTGTGTTTTTTTTTATATTTGGCTCGTTAATTGTACCGAACCAATGAGAAATTTTAATGCAAATGTTATTAAGAGCGCTGATACCTGAAGCAGAACCTTTTATTAAAAAAATAATTTGTTTTAGAAGAAAATGTAGCATTTTTATTAAATATAATTCAATATTAATTTTAATTACATATACGAGTATATTTAAGACTAATCCTGTACCCTTGCTATTTTTGTACCTGTAAATTGAGGCGTGGAGTTTAATATATTAATAAGGCCGAAAGGGTTGAACACCATTAACGAAGGTTTATTATAGGGTAAATTGACGGGACGTAATAATATCCTTTATCAATTTGCAGATTTGGAAATTCGAGGGACACCTAATCCTTGTTTAGTTAACTAATTAAGTTAGCTGTTTGTAAATAGTTGGTAAACTGATAGGTAGTGTAGTTCATGTCTTTCGAAATACTAGGTTGTTATGGTAAGACTTCGGGGAGGCCCATGTCCAGCATTGGACGTCTTTCGGCTGAGATGGTGATGATGATAATGATGTTCAGATATCTACTGTCCAGAGTATAAAGTTTACGCAACATTAAAAATTCATTCTTAAATCTTAAGGGGTTCAATGTAGTGGTAGGTAATTTTGTTAGTCAAATCAATCATAATCAACAGTAAAAAATGAAATTAAGCTGAAAATGAAATTAAGCCAGCAGTTTTTGAACGTCATTGTTAACATAAAGACAATCCACCAAAGACGTCCGACTCGTCACCAATTCCTAGTGTTTTAGCTAGGACGAAGAATCGGTGGAACGAACTCTCAGGAATACACCTGTATGTTAAAAGAACTGGAGTTTATACAATACTAGCTTTTGCCTGCGGCTCCGCCTGGGTGTATATTGGTTATCGCGGTAAGAAGTAACCTCTGTTACACACTGATAATGATGCATCCATTATAGTCTATTGGTGAAATAATTTTTACAATCGGTGTAGTGATTTAGGAGCATAACAAACTCATTTTCACAATTATAACATAAGTGTGGATTATACAAGGTAATCCACATTGAATGATAAAATAATATAACATAATATGTGTCAGTAATCTATAAATCTTAAAATTAAATTAAATTATGCGCCCATTGTAAGCTGGCAAACTTCTTTATGTCAAAATAAGAAACTCAAAAGCAAGCGTAAATGCCGGCAACGCGTTTGTGACTCCTAAATTATAAGTGTTCATGGGTGACGTTGGTCACTTTCCATGAGGTGACACGTTTGCTCGTCGGCCCCCTATTCCATAAAAATAACTTGTTCAGGTTAAAATTCACCTCAGCCCTTTATCCAAATGTGTCAGTTTTGAAATGAAAACAGTATTCAGAGTAAATTTAAACTGGTATTTTATCAAAAGGACTCTTCGCTACAGTTTATATTTATTATATTTTATTATTTTTGAACCTATTAAGCACGAAAGCAAATATTAGGTACTGACGATAGCACAGAAATTCAAAAGATCTGAAATTATAGAGGTTCACTGAATACTGTATTTAGGGACGAACTAATCAGATTAAAGTAGACCAAGATCAATACCATAGACGAACTTTGAAATAGTGTTTTGAATTTAGATATAGCTTTTTGTTTTTTTCTCTTGTAAATTAGGAGATATGAAATGTAACTGTTTCTACAAATGTAGCAGAGACAACTTTAGTGATGCATAAATTATTTATATACTAATGTGTACCAAAATTTCCAACAAGTGAATTATTTACAATTACATAACATCTCGTCTTTTACTTTTTTATTTAATTTTATATCTTCAGACTTTTTTTGTGAAAAAATCATAACAGAGTCATAGAGAGGGAGGTAGGGGTTGGTTAGTCTCCGGTAACCTTACTTACTCGATGAAAAGCAGCGAAGGAATTGCTTAACACCGCCTGGTTTTCTATAAAGCCGTGGTATCACTGCCATCAAGGTGGCACAATCGAGCCGAAGTATAGCTCTCCATGGTAACTACTAGCCAGATATCGCACAATTTAAGTTTTCATGCCTCAATATTATGTAACGTATGCTAGATATTTCGCTTTAAATATGGTATAATCCTAATTAGCTCTTAATGTAAGAAAGGTGCTGAAAGCCGTCACACAGTTCATACTAGTACGGCTGACAACGTATACCATATCAACTTAAACAAAAATGATGTTTTTATCAATACTTTGGTGATATGTAAGGTAT